TATATCCTCAATATTTATTCCACTCTGTATGCATCCGAAGAAGTGGGCTGTAGTCCACGAAAGCTTATGCTCTAATAAATTTGTTAGTCTCTAAGGTGCCACAAGTACTCCTGTTCTTTTTACTGATTAAACTGAAGACTATGTTCCAAATTCTAATTTCTGATAGTGTACACCCAGGCAAGCCCCTTGAAAGCAGTGGAGTTATGCAGGAACAAGCGAGAGCACACTGTGACCCTCTGCCTATTTTAATCTGCTATAAATTTTCTTTGGTACAATTGTAATAGTCTCCTGTGTTGCAAGGCTCTGGAATTGTGCAGTATTTACTACCAGGCTAAACAATAATCAGCATTACAAAAATGCAGGCGTGTAATCTCTTTCACAGTTTGTCACTTATGCAATCCCATAAACTCTTTGTCCAGAGTTGTCATACGAGTAGTTATCCAAGTTAAGCTCATAATCACATTATTTTCATTTGATGCCTCTCAGCAGCAGACTTTCCCACTGCAAAGAGCTGAGTTTGCTATACTAGAAGTAAGGGGTGAGGGGTGAACTCTGATTATATATGCCACCCCAGTCTGTGCACCACTGGGCTAGAGTACAGGAGTCAGAACTAGGAAAACTGGCTTTTATTCCTGGCTCCACTAGGTTGCTGTTTTGCCTTAGGCCAGTTATGAAACATCTCAGACTCTGCTACCTCATCTGTAGAACAGGCATACAAATATTTACAGTATTTTACCTTCTCTTATAGCAAGTCCTGTATAACACAATAGAGATTATACTAATAGAGTTCTATATAAATTGCTCTAAACGTTTATAGAATGTAATGGATTGGGACATTATAAAAATTCTTCAAGATGGTATTCATTCCCTAATAAATTCAACAGGACTGTTCCTTAGGGAAGTTAAAATGCTTTGAGATCAACAGCTGAAGAGCACTAAACAGAACTACAGTATATATTTTTAAATCTCTGGAGATGATACAGCAAGCCAGGCTACACTAGTAACATATGAAGTGGGATTACTCAGGAATTAATGCAAAAGTAAGAGCAACCTAGGACACTTTATGACTTTTTGTCCAGTTCAAGAGTTGTGTCTTCTCACATGGTGTCCCCCCCGCCCCCCTCCCCCACAGGGTAGCTGACTGGATGTTCTGTTTTACAAAGCAATAATCTGGGGCCTGAGTTTCTAAAAGAGGCCAAGCTCTGCTCCACATTATTTCTTAGATCCATGTTTAACTTTATTTCTAGAATGAACAGTGCTCTGCAAGAATGAGTCTTTTGTTTTCCCATTCACCTTTATTTCAGTAAGAAAGTATAATAAATAAGTTACCACAATATATACAAATATACCAATATAAAAATTATTCCCATTTATAAACATCATAAATATATTAAAAATTATAGTAGTAGGAACCACCTCCAAATCACATCACCTAAGTAGTTAATTTATATAGACATCCCATTATAAAAATAAAATAGTGATCTCTCAAGTGTTTAATCATCAGTATAAAATATAAATGATAAATTCTACTTCCTATTGAGTATGTGCAGGAAATTAGTTACCTATTGATTCAAATGAATTGCAAATATTGCAAATTACTAAGTTTACTACTTGGAGTTGTCTAAAGTATATTTAAAAGGTTAGACAAGTAATTCTGTCTCATATTGATAACAGGTTCCTCTTCTGAAAATGACTGTTAGTTTGGATCTGTTGAATTATGGTTTTAAATATGTTAAATTTTTGATATGGTACTCTCACTACCTCACAAGTGAACTTGTTAGGATGTCATATAGACAGTCATTTATTTAGTTTTGATAACCTATATCAACTGATATACAGAATAACCAATTTAAAATTGACTTATTCAAAAAGTGCAGAAGGAAGAGTAGTGTTTTCATATCTGTGAGCTAACATTTCATCAGTTTACTAACATTGTTAAAATCAAAACAAAACAGGGTTTAAAAAGTAGTGTTTTTTGCTTTAAATATAAAAAAAAGTTTCACAGAAACAGGAAGTGTTCCTTTACACTTAAGTAAAGGTTAATAATATTTAGAGACAGTAGTTTTTTCCCCACAAGTACCATAAGTGTTTGTCTGGGAATGCAGCAGCATTTGAAGTAGTAAGAAAAGGCACTTCTTATGTTTTTCCTAAACATCAGTAAGTGGCATGGTTTCTTTTTCCTTTGCAGCTCTTGTTTTCTTGCATTTATACAGGGTCACAGACAAGCCAATGATTGCAATGAGGATTACAATGGCTACAGCTGCTATGATAATAATCACTTCGGTTCCATACGCTGGTTGGGGGGAGAGAGAAAAAGCAAGCAAAGAATTAATAGCTCATCAGTGCATACAGATTTTTATATAGTGGTAATTTGCTTTACCTTAATGTCATAACTAACATGGGTCCCAATCCTACAAAGGTATTGAATACCTCCCATGAGGTGCAAAAACCATTCAGGTCCCCTTGAAGCCAGTCCCTTCCTATGAGGGACTCTGAACCTCAAAGGATCAGGCCCTCAGTTATAGCTATAAATGTCATGCTTGTGCAACAGTTTTGTACACTAACAAAAACTTATTCTAGGGTTTTAAACTGCCAAAACCAAAAATGGTTTAGACAAAGTTTACTGAACTCAAGTATTTTGTGATATCACATTGAAAATTCTGTATTGAGGGAATGGTGTATTTTTTGGATGGTAGGGAGAGGACAATGAGGTTTGGGAGAAGAAAAGGTTTCTGCTTATTAATATAAAATGCACAGATTATTTCCCTATTGTGAAAGAGGAGGGAGCATAAGGGAGAGCTTTCAGCACTGATTGACAACCTGATATACGGTATTTTAAGTAAAATGTTTGTCTTGATACCAATGAAGGATAATGCTTAAACAAACAAAAAACAAACAAAAAACACCCCACAACCAAAAAATAACCCCACACACATACACACACCCTCCCTCCTCCCCTTCCCCTCAAAGCAACTACTATCAAAGGGCACAATGGATAAGACTCCTTCCCAGTGCCATTCCCTCACTGACCTCTTCATTGTTTGATAAAGAGCTTATATATTTGCCTGGTTGGACACAGTTTTAATTTACACAATTTGGGGAAAACAGTTAAAATTATGGGCGCTACAACTTGAAGGACAGTAAACCTTAAAACAGTGGTTCTCAAACTTTTGTACTGGTGACCCCTTTCACACAGCAAGCCTCTGAGTGCGACCTCCCCCCCAATAAATTAAACACACTTTTAAATATATTTAACACCATTATGAATGCTGGAGGCAAAGTGGGGTTTGCGGTGGAGGTTGACAGCTCGCAACCCCCCATGTAATAACCTCATGGTCCCGACCCCCAGTTTGAGAACCCCTGCCTTAAAAGATCACCTGCACTTGAGAAAATGACTAGAGCACAGGAAAAAAGCAGGAGTTAGCCTCATTCAGATATATGGACAGCTCCTACTGACTTTAAGTCTTACATAGTTTGCTGGCATGCATATCTAAAGGCTTCATTATGCAAGCACTCACTATTGGGCCACTAGTTGGGAAAATTTCATTATATGTAAACTAGTATTTATCAAAGGCAAGAAAAGGGAAACAAGAAAAATATAGGCCCAATGATGAGGCAATTTGAAATCTCAGTGAAAAGTCACCAATGCAGGCCACCAAAAGAGGAAAAACTTTTTTTAAGGTGAACAGGTAATTGTGGATGGTGGACAAAGGTGGGATGTTCAAAAGCGCTCAGTGCTGGCCTAACTCAGCTCCCACTGAAGTCAATGACAATTTTGTGATATGGTAGAAATCTCAGTGATGATTACCTCATGGAGATTTCTTCTCATGGGTTTTCCATGTGGGAGGGGTAAACCGGCCCATAGTAATTTAAACAGGAAGCCATTTGTTCTAGAATCAATAAAACTTGTATACCTCAATGTTTCATACAGAGAATGAGAATTTTTTTTTGTTGGAATGCAAGAGACAGCAAGAAAAACAAACAAACAGTCTATTTACTTGTTTCACCAGATACGTACCAGCCACACCGTTTATCTGATCACTGGTACACTTCACCTTGCTTTCTTGACTTTTGCGGTTCTCTCTGCGAGAGAGAATAGTTGCCTGTACAAAGAAGCAGTAGTTCTCCCCTTTGTCAATGCTTATTTCAAACTGATTACTTTTTGTCGTTGCCTCTTTCTATGTATAAAGAAAAAAAAAACCACTTTCAAGACATTCTTTGTAAAAGATTTGGCTCTTAATAGCACAGAAGTTTTGTAACTATAAAACATACAAAATTAGAGGTATAGGAAGTTTAAAATAAGGGCTTACCTTTCCTGTACTTTGATCTTTCCAATAATAGAGTGTATATTCCAGGTCATTTTTAAAAATCTCTCTGATACTTTTAAAGCTTTTATTGGGAAATCTGTATGGTGTAAGTGGATCTTCAACCAACACTTTCAGCTTGGAGTCAGTTAGTTCATAAGTTTGAATCCCTGGTGTTCCAATTTTAGCTAATGCAAACATAAAAACATTTTTAGAATTCCAGGCATAGGAAAAACTTTATTGGCAAATATCCTTTTCACACAACATTCTCTACAAAAAGAAGAACAGGAGTACTTGTGGCACTTTAGAGACTAACAAATTTATT